CTTTCCTTTTTAGCATTACTGCAACCACAAATTTAATTTTTAACAGTTTTTCCACTAACTGAATTTTCAAGTTTCTCAAAAACAGTGGGGGGAATACAGAGGAGGTAAGGAATGTTTAGAAAACAGAGAGAGCAGCGATGTAAAGGGTGGACACATATCTTCTAACATCTGTGAAGCACATGCTCCTGGTGATGTAACAAACGGAGGGTGTGCCTTGGGATTACTAAAGGGCCAACAAATGGCAGGAAAAAACTAATATGTGGGTGAACCACCTACAGCTTAACTTAGAGAGCTGCCTAATATCCTGGCTTGCTCTAAGGAATAAACAATTTGTGAAGGAGATGCAACACCCAGCTATGGAGATAAGATACTGGCAGCAGATTCCCTCCGAGCCAGATAAGATACTGGCAGCAGATTCCCTCCGAGCCAGATAAGATACTGGCAGCAGATTCCCTCCGAGCCAGAAACAGCCATGTCTGGCAATACCAATGAAATCAAGCTCTCGTGGGAAAAGAAACACCAGCCGTATAGGTGGTAAGCCCAGATTTGACTGGGGGAGAAGTTAGAAAATTTGAAATTAGATTGGGGTACTTGTGCAACGTGTTTCTCGCTGAGACTATGCCCTCCACTTGCCCTATCCACCTTCAATGTATCTTGAAGTAGCTGATGCAACCTGATCAGCATGTTGCATGAATATGGAATCACCAATCCAATTCACACACTGTAAGAATGGCTTATCTTTCTCTCTCATGGTGTGCACACTTACACATTCACACCCCAACCACAGTCTCCACAGATCAACTCACACATCTCAGGCCGTGAGCAAGGAGATCTACATAGAAAACGAGTTTAAATCATTCACACAACCATATATGAATTCTGTTCTGCTGCTAGAAGATAAGGTAAAGGTAAAGGGACCCCTGACCATTAGGTCCAGTCATGGCCGACTCTGGGGTTGCGGCGCTCATCTCGCTTTATTGGCCGAGGGAGCAGGCGTACAGCTTCCAGGTCATGTGGCCAGCATGACTAAGCCGCTTCTGGTGAACCAGAGCGGCGCACGGAAACGCCGTTTACCTTCCCGCCGGAGCGGTACCTATTTATCTACTTGCACTTTGACGTGCTTTCGAACTGCTAGGTTGGCAGGAGCAGGGACCAAGGAACGGGAGCTCACCCCATCACAGGGATTCGAACCGCCGACCTTCTGATCGGCAAGTCCTGGGCTCTGTGGTTTAACCCACAGCGCCACCCGCATCCCATAGGGTTATTCATCACGGATTACACTTCTCGGCAGAAAAGAGCGTTTGCTGGATAGTCCTGTGAGGCAGATCTGCTTGAATAACACAATTAATTAAACTGGCATATACAGGGTGAGTCTTTTAAAGGAGGCCCCGTGGAACATGTGCACTCTGTATCCATGGGGCCTCTTCTAAAGGACTCACCCTGTATATATGGGGAATCATATAAAGCCACACCCGTTGACACACTAATTCAGCTTCTCTCTCACTCACAAATATTAAAAGATAATGGCAGAAAGCAAAATTAGTTTGAATTTGACCAACATTTCAGTAAGCCTATCTTCCTTCTCTGTTAAGCAATACTTCAGCAGGTAAGGACAAGCCAGAGTTTCTGTTACACAACAGCAGATTCCCGTGATACACCTGATTACAATAAATGTCAGAAATGAACTTCCTCCTCAGCTCTTTTTAAAGAGCCTCACCCTTGCTTATTGTCATTTCTGAAGCTGTTTCAAGAGAGAAAATAAAATGCTACTTATGTGTGGCACCTGTTAATTTCACTAACTCCAAACCGATTAAAAAAAGAAAGAGAGAGATTGAATAGAAGAGGTTCAGGTCCCCAAATCCTAACCAGAAAGACAAGGAAGCTGCTATTTTGGGCACGAAAGAAGGAGGGGTTTATCGAGAACTCAAATGCTTCATCTTGTAAGTCTCAAATAGGCACGACAGGTAAAATAGGACAGAACAAAATATATATATCCATCCTTCAAAGCTTCATTATCCTTCTGGCAAAATGAAAGCTAGATGCAGCATATTTGAGAAAAATAAACCATGATTTGAACACACACACCCCTACCTGACACAGAACATCCTGTTTGCCTGTCCATAACCACCACCTTTACTCACTTGGCTCACTAAAGCATCTCTGCCCAATTACAAGGAATAACTGGCATGAAATCAGGTTGTGTCATTGAGTCCAATGCAGGCAGGAATCCATGGAAAGGACAGGTGACAAGTGTATTTCCAGTAGACAACCTGGATACTGGCGCTGTGGTCCAAAATGCTCTCCATGGCCAAGAGTGAAACAAGAACCTGCTTGGAAGCAAAGCCTTACTTCCTTGTGAACAAGGACCTAGTTACGTCACTGTGGACTGGAAGCAGGGTACTACAGGAAAGGAACATAGTTTTGAGGACTGCCTATAAGTTCAGGAGAGGGAGGCAAAGAGGAAGGATCTCCTGAACTTCTCTCTAGAACCAAGAGCAGCAGAGAAATGAGGTCCATGGGCAATAGCGAAGTCTTTTCTTCCTCCTGAAGCCTCAGGCAACTGCTTGTAGTAGTCGGAAAGGAGAGTGTACAGCCACACACACATTTATGAACCCAGTGAATTTTGGAACTAACACAGTTAACTAACCCACAGCACTAGAGCAAAACACAGTTTTGTTCTAGGGCAACGTGTGCTTTGTGAAAGACTCTACCCCAAGTCTTTTCACTCTGGTATTAAATGGCTGTCTTCAGATCTTCCATCTCCTTCCAATAGCATCACTGGAAGCTTTTATTCAGTGAGGTGGCCGGTGCTGAATGCCACCAAGGAAGAATTTGTAATCAGAAATGAAAGGGTGAGGCACACCGAGGAGATGACTACTAATTACCATGCTGTCCCAACTTCTCCATTTCCCAAACAACACCTGGAGAACATTTAAGGAAGCAGTATCAAATGCTTCTAATCTTTCGCTGCGCAGTTTCTAGCCTACGGTTCCAGCACCTCAAGGCGTAAACACAGATGAAGGGAATCTTTTTCAAGACACAGTTTCACCAGGAACTTTAAGATGGATATGCCACATGAAGTATAGGAAACATCTGAAAAATGATTTAATAATAATAATAATAATAATAATAATAATAATAATAATGATGATGATGAAGAAATCTTTATGCTCACAGTATTTACAAGATTCTAATACAGAAGAAAAATATTCATGGAAATTCTATGGCAGTGGACCAAACAAGGAAAGAGCTATTATCCTATGAAAATGGTAAGATTTATTACTTGTATGCAAACATTTAGAATGGATTAGTATATAGATATGCCCAGCAATCTATATACTAAGGTAGGGGTGGTCAACCCTTTGGGGCTAGTGGGCATATATAACATTTGGAGGATGTGCTATATGTGCCAGTCGTGAAACAGCTGCTGTGGGGGGGTGGGAAGGCGCAATATGAAATAGTCACCACTTCCAGAAGAGACAAAAAAGGAACAGGAGAAAATGATGTAGGTATTCTCCCCCATCAACAGGGAAAAGGCCCTTATACTAACAACCACCACACTTGTGCACAGAGAAAAAGCTGGCTGTACCTCTCCTCCGCTTGGAATGGATGGATATCCAGTCCTGGTATCCAGTGAAATGTGGACATGTTTAAGGAGGTGTGCTCAGTGTAGGAGCGACCAAGTCACTGCAAATGTCAGCTGACCAGGAAGAGCAAGCAGCCTCTTGTACATTGTGGATTTTTGCGGGGATGTTTACTGAGACCTATCCCACAGGGGACAGGGGCTGCTTCCAGTATATTAAAAGAACTGCATACGAATGTCACGAACTACAAGCAATTGTCACAAAGCTGAACCAAGCATTTATCTACCTTGAACCTATCTGCAGATAGCTTGAAACAATGAACATACAGAGAGCCGCAGAATTTATAGATAAGCGCCCACCAGAATTTATAATCCAAATGTAAATTATAAAAATAAGTATAGCAATCATTTTTACTAGGCCAAGTTATGTTGGGAGAACAGAAAGGAGTATCTTCCAATAAACAAAGGATTTTTCTCTCAGGTGGAATATGGGGGGTGTCCCAATTCATGCCCACAGGCTGAGCAACGCTGCCTGCCACCATAAAATATGTTTTTGCCCCAGTAAAGCCACAGAATCAGAAGCCTTGGTGGAAAGAGAAGCTGGGATTGGCTAGAGACAGTTTGCTGCCTGAGGTTAAGGACAACATGGCACCCCCATTTTGCTAGCTGACAAAACTAGCAGGCGAACTTTTTGGGTTCAACTTCAAGTCTTTTCTACGATGGCGACTCACTCTTGCAAGTTTGCACCTGCTCTGTATATCTCCTGAGTGAAAAAGGCACCTCTGCACATCTTAAACACGCATTCTTGCTGTTCACAACTATTCACAACAATGCAACGTGGTGCTGACAAATCTGAAGTACTATGGGAACGGCAGTGCCCCAAAACACAACTAAGAAAACTAAGTAGGAGTAGTGGCATAGTAGCTATGGCAGAACAGTAGATGTACCTAAGGAGAGCTATGGTGCAGAATGTAAAACAGTAGTGGGGAAACCTCTTGCTAGAAAATAAATTTATTCCCTACTGGGCGGGGGAGGACCCTGTTTTAACCAGAAGCTTCAATGTAAACCCCTTCTCACTAATGGAGAAAGCCCCTCTGAATCAGCTGATTGGTGCTGGCAGTATACATTCAAAGGAGGAACGTTTGAAGAAGAAGAAGAAGAAGAAGAAGAAGAAGAAGAAGAAGAAGAAGAAGAAGAAGCTGACTACCACAGATTAAATAAATGGTGAGAGCACTGGGGGGAATAGCAGAAAGTAATAACAGACATTAGACAATGCCTGGGAGGAACCAGTGAGGCTAAATAGCATTTCCAGAAATTGTAAGATCAGTAAGAAAAATCTACTTTTAATTCATCAGAGCCACCATACGTGTATGTAATGGGTAAACATTTTCTCAGAAGGTGGATGTATGAAGGTCACCTTTACATGGAAGATCTTGCAGTCCGTCCCATATACCTTCATCTCCTCTGGGAAATCTTTATAAGCATTCAAGTAAGGGATGTGGCCATCCATTACCAGCCTAAATGAAAGGAGTAGAAGTAAAATCAAGATGTACATACTGATTTTAGTTCAAAACGCATGACAAGACACAGATACAAAGCTAAAACGTAACAGCTGAGTGAAATCACGAATAAATATTACATTTAAAATATATTTAATTAATGAGAGCAAAAGTAGAAACCCATCCATATTGCACTGTTAAACAGTGGTGTGCAATTATTGGAAGTGGGCACGTCTATGCAGAAATATCAATCAGTGCAAAAAGAAGGGGATGCTTGGAAGAAACAGCCCTTTGGTTAACTCTGACAACTGCAGACTTCTATTCTTCTAGTCAATTAGTAAAGAGGAATTTTGAAAAGCCTATACTTTCCAAGCTAAAAAAAGCAGTTTTTAGATCTTCATAAATTGATTAGCTTGTAAAAACACGAGGAAGGGCTGGGAGGGGGCGGATGAGAAGGGTGGCATGTTGTGAACGTCAAGCCAAGCCAAAGTCCACAACTAGGCTTGTAATGCCTAAGAAATTGCAAAATTGGGGGAGTTAATTTTTGATCTCCCACTTTGAAAAAAATTATTTGCCACTGCTAGTTAGGACTTGAAAATCACAGAACGTAGCCAGCCACAACTTTGAAAGCCATGTTACCAGCCAAGTGCAGATGGCCTCTGTGAGGGAAAAGTTTGTTTTGCTGGGCAGGTTTGGGTCACCGAGTGTTTTCTTTTTCTTTTTCCCTGCCAGCAAACAGTTAGCGAACGGCAGCTTCTGATTGGCCGGGGTTCCAGGAGAGGGAGTTGAAAAGGAGAGGTTTTTGGAGAGATGGGTTTTAGGTTGGGAGATAGGGAGTGAGAGGAGAGAGAGTTGGTTCTGGGTAGAAACATCCACTCTGAGGAATGTATCAAAAGCTAGAGAAAGAAGTCTCTGAGCTTAGTGTGAAGGACAGTGTGTGGTGTCCTGTGATGATAATAGGCCAGGAATTAACTGGGAGGCTGAGGCTGAGCCAGGAGAAGTAGAAGCTGGAAAGATGGTCTACTTAGGACAAGGGACGTGAGTTCCGGTTCCTCTTTTTCTAGGAAAGTAGCACTGTAAAAAAGCAAATCTTCTTATTCACAACTGACCTAGAAAAGTGATAAAACTATTTATTTAATCATATTTTATTCTACCTAAATACAAAAAGCTATAGTTAAAGGCAGAATGGAAAGTAGGCTTTAAAAACAAAATACTTTATTAGATATTGTTCTTACCTTAAGAGATGTGATAATGTAATTGATTCCCTCAACCAGAGCAATGCCAAATAGCAGAAAGCCAGGGTCATCGGCATTGACATTCTAATCTCTCCTTTCTTCATTTTCTGTAAATATGAACCAGCATCCACTGATCCAGACCAGAAAGATTTTCCTGTGGAAATAATTCACAGTAAAAGGAAGCTAACCCAAAAACTACAGAGTATACTGGATCAATACACAAAGGAGGTTGTACCTGACCAAGTCATACCCAAAATAAACCCACTGAACTCAACGGACTTTAGTTGTTACTAACCTATTCATTAACTTCAATGGGTCTACACTGAGCTTGACATGGATGGTTGGGTACAACTCATTGATAAAAAGGAACTGAAAACCTATCATAACATACAGTCATACCTCTGGTTACAGACACTTCAGGTTGCGTTTTTTCAGGTTACGGACTGCCGAAACCCGGAAGTACCGGAACACGTTACTTCTGGGTTTCGGTGGTCGTGCATGCGCAGAAGCGCCAAATCGCAAACCCGTGTGTGCACAGACGAAGGTTGCGAACACTGCGGATTGCGAATGTGGATCCCACACGGATCATGTTCACAACCCGAGTGTCCACTGTACTTCGTTCCAAGACTAAGTGGCTGCTCAGTTAGCTTGCTAACATTCTGCCACCAGCAGAGAACAGACATATACAATGCTCAAGCAACTGAGCCAAACTATGCAATGCAGGCGAAGGGTTTTAATTCTCTTTAAATCCTATGCAAGTGAAAACTTAATAGTGTGTCTGGATTGGGGGGGACGGGTTGTTTTCAAATCTTAATAGCAAGTCTCATCTCCCATCAATAAATGCATTTTCCTAACTAAACAGATGGGAAATGGAGAATGAAAGAATAAAGACAGCTGCCGAAACCACAAATTAGAGCTTGGCTCAAAAGGTGTGTGCGAGCACATCGGCAGATTACACCTCTACAAAAGATTTCCCTTCTCAGCATAGCCAGGAGGATAGCAAGGGAAATGACGTAATCTTTAAAGCTTTAAAACAAATTATTACGTGCAAAGGCAGCTTCACTTAAAGTACAACTGTTCTATACAAGTAAACCTTGTTCTTGGCTAAAAATAAAGCAGAAAAGTGGACTAACTAGAAAGAATTGACACAAGCTTTCTTACAGAGAGGAAAACCTCAAAAAAAGATCACTTCACACCAATGTGTGCAGAAGTGATACAGGAAAATTCAGCCAATAAAATACAGCAAGCCTGCAACTTATGCAGGGGTTACGTTCCAGGGATCGTGCCCAAAGCCAAAATTGTGTATAGTCAAAACCCATTGGGTTCAGTGGCTGTCTCCTTTTCACCCATTTTTTATTTTAAAAAAATGCTACACACATAAAGCTGAATTCACACAAGCTAAATGCATGTAAATTGCAGGCTTGCTGAATGACAATTTAATGACGAAAAAAGGGAAGAGAAAAAAACTTTAATTGCTTCTGCCTTTTGGAGACAAAGCATAAAAAGATTGTTAATCAGCATCTATCATTCCCAGAGACTCAGATTTTATACTGCTAATAGGGCAGGTGCGGTCCAGTATTCTACATGCAGGTCACACACAGAATCATGGAACTGTAGTGTTGGAAGGGACCATTAGGGTCATCAAGTCAAACCCCATGCAATGCAGGAATCTTTCAGCCAACGTGGGGCTCAAACCCACAACCCTGAAATTAAGAATCTTGTGCTCTGCCAACTGAGCTATCCCAGCTCTATACACCCACGTATCTTTATACAGCTTGGGACGATGAATCATTCTCATAATGCCGTATAAACTCCTTATGAAAACAAAAAGGAATATCTAAACAGCAAAGAAACATGTAACGAGTTAGGTTGCATAATAAGAAAAAAGTAAAAGACTGCAAAGTTCAAAAATTCATGAAGGTGTTTTATAACAAAACATAAAAATCAAATAGTCTTTAGTAACCACTTTAAGACAAATGAACGTGAAGTACCATATATGCTTATTTGCAAAGTAATTGGAAGATGTAACTCCAAAATAAAATACCAAAGTGGGGAAAAACAGAGGTGAAGAAAGCATTCATAGTATTATTTCTAAGCCCTTTTGAAAATTATTATATGAGCACAAGGAGGTGCATGGGATAATATCGTCCCCCCTTTTATTTTCAAAACAACCCTACAAGGTAGGTTGGCTAAGAAATGTTAAAAGGCCAAAGGCGATCCAGTGAGCTTTAAGGCTAACTAGGGAATCCACAATTTTAATCCAACACTCTTAATAAGAAAGCCATGCTAGCTTTCTATTTTTGGAGAGCTTACTCAACCCCAAATATAAATAATAACAACAACATTCATAACAATAATAGAATCACATTAGTGGCAGCCTGTTCACATAAATAACTTGCAATTAAGGTTTTAGAGAAAAATCACATGAAGGCATGTGACAATCCCAACAGTGTTTTTGTGTGTGCTCGTTTCCCCTCAAATCTAGCACTAGCAATTATGTACTATTCACATTTCCTATAAGACAGTATGGACAGTGATTTGTTAAAATTACTAATAACAGCAGCTCCACCGCACTGAGTATCATTTTGCCTTTACTGCCTCTGAACAAAGCAAATGAAAATAGTTACTAAGAAAACACCCTCTACTGCATGGCTTCTAAAAGCTTAGAAGGAAACACAAGAGCTGCTTTGAATGTCTATTGTGTATATGTGAGTCACAGTACAAAAAGCATGAACCTCAGGTAATCCTTTCAGTCATCAGTTTCGCCTTTTTCATGTATAGACTGTGTCTCAAGAGCACTGATGATAGAAACTCTACTGCTTATTCCATATTCAGTCTGGTTTACAATAATCCTTGTGTTCTATTCGTAGCCATCCTGTTAACACAGCAGCTTTGCATTTTATTTGTTCTGGATTATACAGGGCATATTAGGCAGTCAGCATTAAACCTAACTCAACATACAATTTAAGACATGTCATAACAGCCTACGAATTTAATAGGCTTCCCAAACAAAGTCTATATACTGCACCAAATGGAGGGTTTCAAGCAGCCAGCTTGGAGAACAATGGCCTGACAGTCAGTAGATATAAACATCTAAAAACCCCAAGCATCACATAATGCCTAATTGTTACAGAAACAGATTTTAAGCTCCCATTTGTCAGCCGCTAAGCAATAGGGTGAAAATATGCCATTCCTGAGTTTGAGGAATCCTTTTTGATTCCCGTCCCATTACTACTCACCTACAAAAAATTATTTTACAACATAGATACTCTTAAAATAATGTCTTAAAAGCACACTCTACAAGCAAGCAAGATCACACAATGCTGGGACGTTGCTAGGATTTGCAAGATAGAACACTTTCCGGGTTTGTCACCTCATCAATTTCCATTTGTGAATCCTACAGATTAGCTATAAATGACCAAGCTAAATAACGATAAAAGCACAGCAAGCCAGTCTTCTTTAAAGGACACATATTTTCACTGGTTCCACACACAAAAAGTGTACATTATGCCCCCAGATGTCACCATGAACCAGAAAATGCCGCTCTAAAATTTCCCCCAGTTCTTATCTTCAGCACTGGTGCAGTTACAGAACCAACCCCCCTCATCTGAACTGTACAAAATATTCAGCCTTTGTACTGCTTTTCCATATGCCCTGCAACCACTTACCGTAATCCACTTAAACCAGATTCCCCTTACTCTTTAAAATTTAACTTTACAAATCTGGACATGCTGTTGAGGACACAAAGCACTACAACATTTTTAGACTTTTCACTGAGGCTAAGGCTGGAATTTCTTAATTACTATGATTAAAATACAAACATTCTAAGTCTGCTATATACAGAAGACTAGCAAACTGCGCGGGAATTAGGTTCCAGGGATAGTGCGTAAATCCAAAATTGTGTATAGCCAGAATAACCCTGAAGAACGGCACATGGATCAGGCACTCTCTGGAAGGCTTCCTGCACGATCTTGGAAAACCCCATAAGACCTCATGAAGGCCTCCAGAGCCTACACGAGATCTTCCCAGAGCCCAGTAAGCAAGTTTGAGAGATTAAAAGGTCTTCCTTCACTGCAAAAGCCTGGCGTGGAAAGAGCTTTTAAGCTCTCCACCTTGGATGCATCTAATTTGTGCCATTGCAGCTGGCTGGCAGCCCAGAGCATAAAGCTGTGGTCATGGAAATTAAATGCACGCAAGTTACTAGTCCACTGTATGTTAGTTATTAAGATACAGCTTTTAAGCACACCAGAGTAGCCAGAGGATAAAATGTTTCTAAGCTAACTGTTCAAGGTGCGTTTAGTCTTACCTGATAAATTGCTAGTAGAAGAAAAACCTCCCATGCTAGATTTGGATACCACATCTGTATCACTTGCAGAGGAAGCCAAGCCAAGAATTCTAGTAATTTCTAACTCCCTGTCGACGTCAGTATCCGAGTCGCACGTCTGTTTTCAAAATAAAACAGTGGTGTAAGACTCCCGACGGCACAGCTATGGCACTGTTACATTTTCAAAAGGAATTCCCTCTTCCTTAAAACAGTTTTATCAGAAAAATATTCTGCTGTAGTCAGTAATGATCACCAGGTTTCAATAAAACAGATAAATATTATGTGGTTATAAGTTAGCTTTCAAAGTAAAACAGCAATCTTTAAATACATGTAACAGTGTAAATATTTTAAAAATTATGTATATTGCATACAGACAAACTACACTGGGTGGAGGCAGAAATACCTTTTTAAAACTCGTGACTTGCGGGGATTGTGTGTAAAGCCAAAATCGTGTATAGTCAGAACAATCCTGGAACAGACCTTGTGTGAACATCCCTACCTCTCTGGAAGCTGGCACGCCAAATGGGTCTTCTCACCTCCTCACGCAAGGCTTTCAATCTTACTTACCAGGCTCTGGGAAACTTTCTCATGGGCTCAGGGAGGCTCTTGCAATATCTCAGATAGCCCCACAAGAGCCTCCCGGAGCCTGGTAACCAAGGCTAAAAACTTAAAAGCTCTTTCCACGCCAAGGAAACCCAGTGCAGAAGAAGCTTTTAAGCTCTCCGCCTTCTGTGCATTTAATTTGTGCAATCGCAGCTGCCCGCCACATACAGCTACAATAGCGCAAGTTAAATGTGCACAAGTTGCATGCTGACTGTACTAGCAAATGATCTGTTACACAAGTCATTCCTAGCAAGTCTTGCTCATACCAATAGATCCAAAACCAATCAATGTAAGCCATCTCCACAGTTTTCTTGAAACATTAAGCCCATGCGGTATTCACAAGGATAAGCAATATGCCTATAAGTATATGCTTAAGTCACTGGCCTGATTCAGATAATATTTTCCCCCCAGTTACAGGAGGTGGCAACAGGCCTCAGGATCACATATGCCTTCTTCCACTGTCGCTGAGATGGATCTGATAATAAATTTACCCTTAAAAGAGCTGTCAACCTGAGCCAATTCTAGGTAAAAAGATGGGTTTGAGAATTGTTATCTCTGTTTTATATAATTATAAAATGAAATAATAAAAAAGCTTTACAAAAAAGGGAGGGTTGAGAACAATCTGGTTTCAGATCAAACAAGCACAGTGCCGGATCATATCTTACTTTCCATGTGGAAGACAGCATGCACACAATCCCATAGCCCACTCACACTCCCTGTAATGGGCGTGAAAACACCATCCAAACAAAGCCACTAAGTATAATTTATTTTGTATCTTTGCTCGTATTTTCAGCATGTCTTCTGAAAACATAGCATATTTGGTTCCACCTGCTGGCTTTAATGGCCCTCTCAATGAGAGTTTTTTAAAAAACTGAACTTCTTACTAGCTTTACATTCACATTCAATAGCAAAATATTTACAACCCATGGCAATCTGAAGTAAAGATTTTTCAATGCTAAATATATCCCACTGTTAGGATAAGATAAACTTATTGTTATTCTTTTCACCAGAGGATTAAGGTATGCTTTATCTGTCTTCATCCATGTGTCAGTGAAGAGCAAGACGTATCTAGAAAAGCAGTGTGTTAAGGCAGAGGTTTTCAACCTTTTTGAGTCCACGGCTCCCTTGACCAACTACATTCTTTCTGCAGCACCCCCCCATGGGGCTCAGGAATCCAGTTACATCACCCTTTGCCTGCAGAGCTGGCAACCTCTCACCCTTTTCCAAACACCCTCCCTTGTGGAGTGTTCCTTCAGCCTCCTCCTCTCCTCTCCTCTCCCCTCTCCTTGGGAGTCCTCCACACTTCCTGGTCTCTGAGCTGCCCCCCCCCGCCCCAAAGAGAGGTGCCTCCCTGAGGCACCCTTTGCCTGTGACACTCATAGCCAGGGCTGCTGCAATAAAAGCTGTCCAAGCCTTTGGGATGCAGAGACACAAGAGAGCATCAGAGGAGGGAGGAAAGGAAGGAGGGACAAAGGCCAGTGTTGCCCACGGCACCCCTGCCCATCATTCAAGGCACCCCAGGGTGCCACGGCACGCTGGTTGAAAACCACTGTGTTAAGGAATTGTGGCTCCCAGCTCAACAAGGTCCTCTTAAAGGGTTTTGAGCACTGCCATAATGTAGGTTTTTAGTTATAAGATAGGTTGCGTAAGTTTCCATAAATGCTCTTGGACCACGTGGGCATGGAAAATATAGCTAATCACCCCTTCCTAACTTTGCACTTACCGTCGAGATATCGCGCACAACTTCACGGCGGGGCTTGTCACAATAAGCTTGCTGGCTCTTCTGAAGGTAGATTCTCCAGAACTTCCACAAAACGTCATCCTGATAAGAACAAAAAAAGTTATTCATCCACGTTTGTATATGTTTATGTGCATGCAAAATATGTGGGCCTGTGTCCCTGCTCACTTTGCTGCTAACCAAGCCCCCACATTAACCCCCTAGAGCTGCACCTTCCCACCCCATGCAACTAATAAGCTCCCTTTTCAGCTCCCCAATCTCATTTCTGAAGCCTTCTATTCTGCAGCCCTATTTTGGAGCCGTTTTCATGCCTATGTCCATGCCTACTCCTTCCCTGCTTTTTTTGCAATCCTCCCCTTGCACACAGACCACCCCTATGGCAACCTCCTGCACCTTCCTCCTCCCCCCACACATTGCAGCTCCTAAGCAGCCTTTTCACCCTCCACACTACAGTGGTACCTCTGGTTACATACGCTTCAGATTACATACGCTTCAGGTTACAGACTCTGCTAACCCAGAAATTGTGCTTCAGGTTAAGAACTTTGCTTCAGGATGAGAACAGAAATCGTGCTCGGGCGGCGCGGCAACAGCGGGAGGCCCCATTAGCTAAAGTGGTCTTCAGGTTAAGAACAGTTTCAGGTTAAGAAAGGACCTCCGGAACGAATTAAGTACTTAACCTGAGGTACCACTGTATTATGATGGCGCTACTCCTTCCTATTTTGCTGCCCCCTTTGTACACCTGCTTTCATCCTAACCCTCCTTCCCGTGGCTCCTTTTGCAAACCCATTTGCACCTTCATCACTTTTTTCTCCCTCCTCCTTCCTTTTCTCAGCTCCCACCCCTATTTCCATGCCTCCTCCTCCTGGGAAACAAGTGCATTTTCATTAAGCAGCACATAGATCATAATGCACAATGGTTCTAAGCTACATAACTGCCCATTGAATTTCATAATTCACTGCCAGGCATTCCCTGGAATGGCTGCAATCACACTACCTCTAAGTCACAGTTTACAATGGTGAGCCACAATGAATCTTGGGCCTGCACACCTACCCTGTCCCCTTCTGGAACAGCTATAAGGAGATCGATAGCTTCTATTTCTGCTTCAGCTTTAACCACAGTTTAGCATGCTGCTGGTGCTGCCTGAACCCTCAGCTATGGCTAATCTAAACTATAGTTTGTTGAAACAAGGATGCTTCGTAACTCATAATTTGAAGTTGTTTGGTTTCAACATACCATAGATTAACCAGATTGTCATGGTTTGGACATCACAATAAAGTTCTGTATTCCTCCTCGTGGCTGTGCCAGAGGCTCACTGTGGTTTATCTTAACACTAAGCCATAATTTAGCATTTCGTGAGATGGGAACACTGCAGCAAGTAGGCCAAATGTACCTTGAACTGTGAAGAAACTCCTAAAGCCTGCAGTGCGTCGGCTTGCTTCGAGAGAATGAATTGAAAGCCTTCACAAATATACCATTCCCAGCTGCTTTCTAAAAGAAAAATGAGTGTTATGACTAATAGCTTGTTAATAGCCAAAATTATACCAATAAGGCATTTTAGGCTATGATCCTAAACACACTTACTAGGGAGTAAGATTTGATCATTGAACTTTTGATGTACTATTAACAGTCTGTCCCCATCTACAGTCTAGCTGTAATATTTTGTGCCAGCTGTGTGTCAGCATTTTATTGATCAAATATCATACATTAGAAAGTGCTAACAGTTGACTTAAAAGTGATATTTGTGCTGTAATCTATCTGGAAGCAATATTGGGAGAACCTATTTATATCCAAAAGCTATGGAGAAGTCATAGCTGATTTGCACATTTTGCCAGACAGAAGTGTTAAGAAACTGATATAGGAAAGCTAGGAGCTAAACGGCACCTTAAACCTAGGTTATGGATACAACAATAGAATGTCTATGCACTTTTTTATAACAAGAATACAAAGCTGAAAATGAATCAACTGCAGCTAAAATATTATGTTCATTTTTCACATGGTCTAGTCCTTCCCCTGCCCATGCTCTAATTTTCTTAAGAGGGTCTCTTCTCCAGTCTTCAGAGAGTAGCTGGAAGTGGGGAAGCAGAAAAAAGGTCCACTCTGCAGTTTTAATCTGAAATCTCAGGTAGAGAACTGTGCCCAGAGCTCAGAAATTGCTCCCGCTAATGAAATTCCCTGTCACACAATGCGCCTAGAACAATGGGAGTTTCGAATACTGCCAGACAGCATTTTTATGCTTATACATTTATGAAGATATTAGGCCAGAGATTGGGGAATATAAATGTTTCATGTTTTTTACAGCACATTTTCTTTTTTTGGCCAACATACCAAGTTTTTTCTTCTTTTTTAAGCCTCTAGAGATGGATTGTGCCCTGGCATTTGTAGTAGCATCACCAGTTATAACTTCTCTAGTCCTCTGCAAGACAGTTTTGAAAACATATAAGGTTAACAAAAAAAACCACAAAAAAATCCAGAAGCCTTCTAGTCCTTTTAAACATGTATCGCAATGGAACAACAGAGATCATTTTGGGTGAGCAGGCTTCTATCTGCAAAGCTACCATGGATGTAGACTTATAAGAATCCACAACACTATCACAACACTCTTCTGGATTCCTGGACTACATGGATAAATTTTTGGATGACAGTGTGCATCCACTTCTAGAGCCACTATGTGATTATTTGCAGATAATGAAAACTGAACCAAGGCCACAATATTTAATACAGGTCCCACAGCAGGTGAATATATTTAATTTTTAATGAAGGTTTACACTTAAAAACTGAAGGGAATTTGGAAGTGGAAAAAAAGAAGTGAGACTGAGAATTGCTTACTTACTTCTATAACATTGTGGCATGATCTGCAGTAAAATTTTCCTTCTTCAGTAAGTCCCCAGTTGATGTCAGAACACTGTACACAAGGTTCATTGTAGTCTCTCTATTTCAAAAAAAGGGGAAAAAATTGAATGTAAATAGCAGCAGTCTGTTCTTTCCAAGAGGTACACAGTCCTTTCATGGTCATAACATTTATTTCAATCTACCACAGTAAAGTATCTTATCTAGTGAAGAAGAATAACAGATTGCATCTTCTTAAATATTATTTACAGCCCAATCCTATGTATGTTTACTTGCTCCACTGTGTTCATTAGAGTCTAAGCAAATGTGCAGAAGACGGTACACAGTAACCCAGGTTGCAATCCTATGCACATTTAAAACTCAAGTGAATGCAGTGGGCCCTACTTCCATGTAAGTGTGACTTGGTTTGTGCTGTTGAGACACCTGATTTAACTTCAACAAATAAGACTTCATGAGCTAAACACTTCTGTTGCACGACCTACCCCTTTACTCAATATAAAAAAGGTAAAGGACACTGGGATGGTTAAGTCCAGTCAAAGGCGACTATGAGGTTGCGGCGCTCATCTTGCTTTTCAGGCCACGGGAGCCAGCGTTTGTCCACAGACAGCTTTCCAGGTCATGTGGCCAGCGTGACTAAACCGCTTCTGGCACGACGGAAACCAGAGCGCATGGTAATGCCGTTTACCTTCCCGCCGCAGCGGTACCTATTTATCTACTCGCACGGGTGTGCTCTCGAACTGCTAGGTTGGCAGAAGCTCAATAGAAGAGTGTATACAACAACAGCACTACGCTGAGAACCTTAACGCCTGAATAAATACAGTATTGCATCCTTCAAAGAAATGGCTGTGTATCTCCCCCAACCAGGGCCAGATTTGGGTTTGATGAGGCCCTAAGCTACTGAAGGTAATGGGGCCCTTTATATGTCCAGCTGTCCTTTGTCAACAACAAATTGTCACTGTTTTTTGTGTTGAATATATGCTATATGGTAATTTATGGGACCCTATATATAGAAATGAGCAAACCAGTGATATTTTTTGGGAGCAGGCAAGCAGGCGGGGCCCATTACTTACATCATAGGAGCCTACACAACACGAAACACTGTTGCTGTATGTAGGTTTTATTTTATTTGTTTTTTTATCTTATATTTTGGAAATGTACATCCAAGTTTTTTTTCTTTAATTTTTTTTGGAGCCCCCCAAGAGAGTGGGGCCCTAAACTATAGCTTGTTTAGCTTAAACGTAAATCCGGCACTGCCCCCCAACCCACATCCTCCAGACCCTCTTTTGGTTTTTTAAACAGCTGCACGGAAGGCGTCGTTCAACAGAGGAAGCTTTCCCCAGTCTGGTGCAGGAGGAGATGGCAGCTTAACCTGTTGAACTGTGCAGCCTGCTGGAAAAGAAGTGGGAACCCTAAACCACTCCCACTTTACCCAAAGGGCTTATTACTACGCTCGCCCCGAACAGGCTGTGTCCTGTCTGCATCCCTCGTGATACTCAAGCCCAGGGCTTCCTGCCTGCCCCACATCCCAACCCTCTATCCTTCTCAGGGGCAGCTGAAGGGACCCTTCCCCTTCCTCTCTGCGCCCCAACCTCACCGCGTCCTCTTCCTCCATGGCGCGCGGAGCGATCACCGCCACTCCGCCGTAGCAGCAACCATCCTGCCGCCGCCGCCGCCGCCGCCGAGCTCACCAAAACAGCAGCCGGCCGGGAAACGAAGCCTCCATCCTTTTCGTTCCGGGGATGCCGCTTGCGCACATTTCCCCCTTCCTCTGCTCTAGCAAGGGAAAAGCAAAGCAAAAAGAAGCAGCAAAGATGCTCGAAATGCTGTTTCTGTTTCCTCTCCTCCCACCACCCCTTCTCTTTTTTGCTAAAAAGAAATCCCTGAGCGAAAAGCAGACAGGGTTTTTGTGTGTGTGTGTGTGTTTTGCTTTACGCATGGACTCCGTCCCTGAACCTACTTCCTCCATGCGCCTATAATAAGTGAAGGGAGCTGCAGCCTCTGAGCGCGTGCAGACTGCCTTTTCCTCTGCAGCCCGTGCCTGATTCTAGCCTCGCTTACCCCGACCTTGTTCTTTTAAATTAAGTGCGTAAACAACACGATGCTGACTGAGCCTGCTTTCGGAGAAGGACTCAGAAAGGCTTTCTGGAGAAGAAGCCCTGCACCACCAGCTAGTTATGAAAAAGGGCCACGGTTTCCTCAGCAGACTCTATCTTGTAGGCTTTAGCCTGTATTTCTGGGTGATTATTAGGAAATTTAACACAGGGACAACAGTTCCCCGTGCGGAGGCGACGGCATCTGGTCCGCGTTAGACTTGGCAAGTTTTCTCAAGGGTGCCACTTTGTGCTTTTAGATGGAGAAATAGATGGAGAAAGAAGACCCCTCGGACCAAAGTATTCACTGGCGGCGATTGGTGTCAAAAGAAGTATACTACAAACAACACAAAAGCTTTGCTATATATAAGACTGCATGTAAATCCCATATCCACTTAACTTCTCTGTCTTGGATTTCACTGTAAGCGTTTGAAGAGTGGGTTTTTCACGTTCACAAGAGTGAACAGAAACAAATGCTTTAAGCCACTTACCGGTATTTACTAATACTAAACAAAGTAATATCGTTTTATAGTAAATATGTTAGTTTATAGTGAAGGTACTTTAATTGCATTCCTGGGGTAATTCTAAAAATAATAAACCATCAAAGTAGTATTAAAGCGTTAATCTAGCCTTTGTCAGGCATGGTGGCTTAAAACACAAGTTTCTAATTCTTATTTCAATAAACATTAGCAGGCGTAAACCTACTACCTGTGCGTTGACCTTTTAAAAAATACTACAAAGCTCGTATTTTTTAAAATACGATTCTTAAGCACTGAACAATTCAATAATAAAGCAAATATGTGTACAATTGTTCTTTCATATACAGTACAAGGTTTTTAATATCATTTACAATATATGAAGAAAAAAACAAAACACTGGTCAAAAGATTGGCTTTTCGTAGTGTTCTTTTTAACAAATTTGTTGCAATAACATGACATATTATATTACAAAGTATACACATGGCATTATCCAATGAACCACTGCTTAAATACATATGTTAATTAATTTAAATGTGTGAACTTTTTTTTTTAAAAAGGCTAGAATTAAGACTGAACAAAACAATAGCAGTTTGCACGGAACAGTTTTCAGAGGATGCTCTACCTTGCAAGAACAAAAGTGTTTTTCACACTATAAAGATGGGGAAGAAAAAGAATTAAACTTTTCCCTGAAGATGCCAAATAAATCCATAATTTTTGGGGAGCTATGGCAGAATGTTTGGGCAGATCAGTAGTCCCCACATTCATGTTTTTGACTCAGATGTGAGCCAGCATGAATACTAGAGAGTTCTTGCAAGAGATTTATCATCTCTTCTGACAGACATCCATATACTTAGCCATGCAGAATGTACTGTCTATGCTAGACTCACTCTCATTACTGTCATTAGCACAAACAGGGACAGCTCAAGAGTATTTTGTTTTGTTTTGCTGCCATAAGTGGAGCAAAGTGATTACCGTCCCACACAAACTAAGCATGTGACCCACACCCTCCTTTCCTGTGGCATTGCAATGGATTCTGGGCTGCACTTGGGAGTCCATGTTGAAAGCAAACCAAAATGTACTCATTTTGAGTTCATGGCGCACGCCTCCATTGTCTCCTGAGAACTCAATGAGTTCATATACTAATTTGAGCATATACTAATTTATTCATATACTAATTATATATTCTAATCATATACTAATCATATATTCATATACTAATTTATTCATATACTAATTAATTCATATACTAATTTGAGCCACCAGATCAGAGGACCGACAAAGGCTGAAGTGCATCTGATGATCCCTTAAACAAAACCCATTCACACTGCTCTGATAAAGGAGTCTTCTTGCTAGCCACACAAGTGCCAAGTGTTCAAAAATCAGAAGGGATTAGAGCTTTAGAGGCAGGTCGTAAATACTAATCTGTAAATGGAGCACATTTCTTGTTTCTTTAATGTGGTTGCCATCTTGCTGGTTGGTTTGGGGAGAAGGAGGACTATGGTGCAGCAATCGCTCAGCAGTCCTACAGGAAGGCAAAGATGACCAATGTGCTGCTTTAACTGCACATATAAAACAAATGCCTCTGAAATGTTTCCACAAATGGAACCAAGTCACTCTAATTAATAACTGTGGTCTTTAGAGGGCATGTTGAGTGAGTATACAACTTGCACCGTATGCTTCAGGTATTTTTTTCCACATAATATTGAAAAACTGCATTTTCCTAGTTCACATTTTGTCAACACATTACAAGCAGTGTCATGGGAGAGCATGTGATCGACCAAGCCAACAGGCTGACAGACAGCTAGCCCAAGCCATGCACTCCAGCAAGTATTGTATGCATGCACCTATTGCTCTTTTGAGTGGTTTGAGTGGGCAGTGAACAGGTCCCAGGTAGGGTGATGAATGAATGGCGGCAAGATGTATGTTCCCTTACCTGGACTCTCCAGGTCAGCCTGCTGCCCTCAGGCATGGCAAAGAATGCTGTCCCGTTGCCAGCACTGAAATTAAATTCAAGTGCCGATCTAGTCAGCTTCTGTGACCACAGCAGTCTTTGATGGGAGATAAAAGTAATCATTGTTAATGGGTTGTAGCCAGTGTTGCAGAGTAGAGTCTACTCAGCGTAGACTCATTGAAATTAATGGACAGGATCAGCTTAGATACATCAATTTCAATGGACCAACTCTCAGCAGCACTGTGTAGGCTCCCATTTACTCTGCATCCACAAGCCATATCTGTCCGGATGTTCCTTTGGAAATACTGCATTTTGATGTGTTTCCAAAACCAGCTTTGATCCAAATTGAGAAAAAGAACAACTTAGCTGTGTTTTAAACTCTTCCTATCTCTCTTTTTTGGTAACATCTGTTATTTTTTCACTTACTTGCTTCGTATGTTGTCAGTAAAAATGTGGAAGTCATGATTATCGTCAGTACCCCTCGCAGCTAGAATGAAATGTTCTCCTTCTGCTTTATTAATATTGCCCAAATGCCAGATTTTATTTATTCTTTTTTTTGTGTGGGGATTGGCCTGTTTGTCCTATATCTAGAATGCAGAAGGTTATTGTTAGAAGATGCGCAGGTGAATGAACCACTGATGTTGGCTGACAATATTAGATCCTATAATAGTGTTGCCGGATAAGATGTGCCATATCTTCTTTAGGAACACTATTACAAGACCTATAGGTGCCACAAAATTCTTCCTTGTTTTCAATAGCTGTCGTTTCTCAAGGCCAAAGGGGGGCAACAAACCCTTTAGCTGCCCATAAAACTCTGTTAACTTTGCAGAATACAAGACAGTGTGCCTAACAAATGTTTTCAAAAAGATTTACAATACTGTATAAAAAAACACTTGGAAACAGCATATCTACTGGGGCATGTTGCCACTGATCTTTCAGAGTTCAGAGGAAATTTCAGAGGAAAACTGCAGCCCGAAACACCTGAACTACAACTTATCAAGAAGTCAAACACCATTGATTTGGGCCTGAACAGAGACAATGGTTTCCTTTCCCACTGCCAATGTTAATTAACTCAGCATTGCCAATCAGATTGTTTTTATTGCATATCACCGCTTTTGTAAAGAGTCACTGTGCTTACTTACATACATTCTAGCTCTGTCTGAATTACTACTATCTGTGCATCTCACATTTCAATTCCCTCTGATCTCACTCCTTACAACTGCCTGCACCCCTTAAAACCATGTGTATAAATACCTGCAACTGAGGATTACCCTTCATGTCTCTGATGAAGTGGACTTTAATCCATGAAAGCTTTTGGCATAATAAAATGTGTTAGTGTTTCAGGTGTCGCAAGACTTTGTTATTTCTGCTGCAACAAACACAACTACCCCTCTGGAAATTTGTCAGCTAATTAAGGTAGAGTTAGAATTCCCAAAGGATGAGATCACAGCAAACTTGGTAAAGAACAGGACAGGCTATTGCCTTGTTTTAGTGATGGTTTCTGAGCTTCAATGATAGACAGTGCAGTCCTCTACATGTCCATTCTGAACTAAGGCCACTGAATTCAATGGTTTTTACTTCTGAGACTGCCATTACTCCTATAGAATTACATCCTTCATGTGCTTTGAGAAGTGTGAGTAGAGTCTTACAGATATGTAAAAGCACTTTTACAATTCTTCATGAATGAAAAACTACTTACATTAATTTATAAATTAAGCCTCAGCTAGATGAAAATATCTCTGCCTAAGGTTTCATTCTGTGATGTTTTAAAATCAAAACCTAGATTCTGCTGTACTGGTTTAAAAAATATTTTAGTTGTTATTAAGGATGTTTGTAAACTGCCTTGGAACATATATAGAATTATAGAGCTGTAGAGTTGGCATGGATCCCAGCTTCTTACTCAAGGTGATTTGCAATCAACATTTTAAAATAAAATCAGCACAAATAATATCAAACCATGAACAAAACATGCCCAGACTCAACCACAAACAAAATACCAGATTAAGGTCCTGCTTATAGCCTTCCCATAGGCATTTGATTGGCCACTGTGCAAACAAGATATTAGATTCAATGGGTGTTTGGTTTGATCCAGCAACGCACTTGTGGTGTTCTTAACAAGCAAGACCAAACCAGAAATGACCAAAGTACAAGAGCTCATTGATGAAAAGCTTGTACTATATCTTTCAGTAAATGGTTGCCATGGGAAGTCATGGGAACCACCTAGGATGTGCCATCACTCATGAGTTATGTATTTTTGTAGCCAGTGTTAATCAATTGGATTTCATGGGGTCATTTGTCTCCACCACTCTTCCACTGACAGCCATCCAGCTGGAAGATAGTAGTCAAGATGGAACTAACCACAGAATCAGATACCATTGCATCTCAG